GCTTGCATTTGTTTTATTTTAAATAACTTATATTTGTTTTCATTGAGTTTGTGTGTTTGTATATATGTACGTATGTTTGTGAGTTTGTATGTATGTATGTATTTATTTGGTACTGGGGCTTGAACTCAGGACCTTATGCTTGCTAGGAAAGTGCCTGCCGCTGAGACTTGAATTTAGCTATTTTTTTGGTTTGTTTGGGCTGATCTTGAGGCTTTAACTCAGGGTGCTGTCCCTGAGCTTTAGTGCTAAAGGCGCCACAGCTCCACTCCCAGCTGCTGGCTTCAAACTGTGATCTTCAGAGCTCAGCCTCTCAGCTGAGTAGCTAGGATTACAGGTACCTGGTTTCATTGAGCCTCTTAAAACTAATAAAAACTTTTCTATCATTTCCCATTTTGAGAGTGGGAGGATTAAAAAGGTTGTGATGTCCTGCTTGGAGAGTGAATCTATTACAGTGCTGTGTGTCAGTTTTGACTGTAACAGTGATACTCCTGAATCTGAGTAACTAATCAGATCTGGTTATTCAAAGAAGCTTTATAGAAGATTCATGCCCAGGTACGGTACTGAGGTCTTCTTCACTTAGCTTCACATACCCCCCTGGACTCTTACTAGTAAATGCTCTTTTTGTCAGGAGAGTACCTTCATATTTTTCATATGTATTGTTTATATGCTGTATATTTACAAAGTAAATTATCTGCTGAGAAACACTAATCACCTCACTTGGGTCCATGAATTAGCTAAAAGCAGAATAAAGGCTAGACATTACATTACATTTTCTATCTATGTCCGTTGCCCTGAACCATTCTCCCCGGCAGTAGGATTTTTGGAGATGTCTTGGAACCCCAGATAGGAGACATAACTGCCTGCCAGCTGTCAGTGGCTCTCACTATAACACTGACTATTCTTGGGACAGCGGCCCGTCAGACCACCTCTGACTTTACTTTGGGCACCTCTGACCCCTCTGAACACAAACATAGCTAGACTGGACTGTTTGAACGATGCACACCGTCAGCCCCTGTTCCAGCGCTCCCTCTCTAGCGTAAGGCAGTGTCTGTGCTGGGAAGATGGGTGAAGTACTGGAAATGCCCTCTTCCCTTTCCTTCAAAAGTGGAAAGTGAGGGTGTGAGAAAGGAAACAAATAGGAGGGGCTGCTATAAAAGTCTGCCCAGTTGGTGAGCAAAGGGCATAAAAATAGGGCTGCAGGCAGTTACAGGCTGGCATGGGGCTAGTGTGGCCTGACAGTACAGTGTGGAGTGTAGGACACACTGACCAAGGCCGGGAAGGCCGAGGTGTGGCAGGGAAGGTTCTGAGCCCTCCCTGGGCCAGGGGCCACCACCTGCCCTGCCTGGTGCTTATCTTGTCCCATGCTTATTTATTAGTCCATTGTAGAGCTTATTGTTTGAAGGCACATGCAAATATGGGGCTTTTTTATGTTCCTTAGCTTTATATAAATGGTACTATGATGTATGTCTTTTTTTGCTGGTACTGGGGCTTGAACTCTGGGCCTGGGCACTGTCCCTGAGCTTCTTTTGCTCAAGGCTAGTGCTCTACCACTTGAGCCACAGTGCCACTTCCGGCCTTTTCTGTTTATGTGGTAATAAGGAACCCAGGGCTTTATGCATGCTAAGTAAGAATTCTACCAATTTTTTTTTTGCGGGCCATGGGTCTTGAACTGTGGGACTGGGCACTGTCCCTGCGCTCTTCTGCTCAAGGCAAGTGCCCTGCCACTTCAGCCACAGCACCACTTCTTGAGTATTCTTGAATACCCCTATGGATGTGATATGCTTAGAAAATATGATTCTTCAGATTACATTGTAGTTTATATTTTAATTGCAAATTTAAATTTCTCAGTTTTAAATTGGTGTCGTGTAGGCCAGGACGTGACAAGGTGTGCTGGCAGTTTCTGTGTGCCTTCAGACTTTCTGGTCTGCTTAGGATAACCCAGTAGCCTAAATGATTGTTCTAAAATTACAAAGGAGGATACTGTGTATAGTTAGCAAAGAGAACAAAACCTGACTGGTAAAGCTTGCTTTTTATTTATTTTGCTCTGTATATGTGAAAATATATATACATAATATATACTGTATGTATATGACATTTGCTCCCATATGTAAATCTGAAAGCATGGTTAATTTCTAAGACAAAGAAAAATTTCCCATTATTGGGTTGTAATGGTCATTCAGTGTTCCAAATGACTACTAGTATTAGAGTATTGAAAGGTGTTTAATAAGCTGTCTCTGGAGGTTCAGTTTTGCACTGCAGACAGCCCTTGGTTTACGAGCACAGTGACATAGGCTTGTTCTACAGAACAGTATGCAGCATGTCAGCTGACACTGGTGTTAGGTTCCGGGTCAGGGGGAAATGGAATATAATTGCCAGCCTTATCACACCTTGAACATTATGGTAAGCAAGACTTTGTCTGATGGAATTGTGGAGTGGACCAGTGTTTACAGCTAACTTCTGCCATGTCTTTAGAGTTGTTTTTGTTGTTTTCTAAAGAAGGTAGCTCTCTTCTGGTCCATTTTCCTGCCTCCTTGTTACAAGTGTTGGTGCCTAGAGTGTAACTATTGATGTTTGCCATTAACCATTTTCGTTGTACTCTGTTTCTTGCTGCTTAAACTGCAAAAGTGTATAACAGGGAGGTTTCTTGCTTAAGATATCCTTAATGCTTGTGCTGAGTCATTTTGAGTTAAGTGAATTGGGTAGATTTCTATTTTTAGTCCTGCAGGCTGAGAGGCGCTGTGTTCTGTCTCATTGCAACTGTTCCATGTTGCCCACATAAGAGACATGGTTCCATTTCATTAGAATTGGGGCCAGTGAATAAACTTGAAGTTGTAAAGGATTTTCTTATTTTTTTCCCTTGAAATCAAGAATTTGAAAAGTTTAAATGTCTTCGTAGTGAGGTATTATGTGTTTGTGCCTGCTTCCAATATTCATTTTTCATTAAAGCATGACTCTTATTTTTATCCTTCCAATTCCACACTCTCATTGTTCTCTCCTTAAATGTTACCCCACTTCTGTTTAGAGGTGTATTCTTTGTTCCTGACTCAGAAAGAAACAGAGCTTCCCTGATTACTCACAGCACTGAAACGTTGTTTTGTACTGCTTTTGTTGTTGCAGTCATGAAAGTTCACTTACAGAAGAACAAATGCTGCTAGAGGACTTAGAGGACACTTTAAAAAAGAAAAGGCTTATTTTATTACAGTATCTGATCTGTATAATCACCAAGGAGGAGCTTCATTTCTGGGTCTCTTCTCCTTGGCTGGAGACTTGATGATTTCCCTGAAAGGAAGGGAGGGAAAGAGGGAAGGAAGGGGATAGAGAGAGAGAGAGAGAGAGAGAGTGTGTGTGTGTGTGTGTGTGATTTTCTTTGCCTTGTATTTCTATAAGACTGGTAACAGGATTTGTTGTTTGTGTGGTTCTAAACATTGAACTTCAGGTCTCACATTTGCTAGGCAAGGGCTCTATTACTTGAGCCTGTCAGAAAGATTTTTGGGGGGGGCTTGAACTCTGGGTCTGGACGCTGTCTCTGAGCTCTTCAGCTCAAGGCTAGCGCTCTACCACTTGAGCCACAGCACTTCTTTCAATTTGTTTGAGATAAGAGTCTCATGGACTTTCCTGCCCAGGCTGGCTTTGAACCTCAGTCTTCAGATCTCAGCGTCCTCAATAGGCAGGATTATAGGTGTGAGCCTTCATGCTGGTTTTTTGATGGCTGACTTTTGGCCAGATAATGGGACTTGAGTCCTTAGTCTGTTGTACTTCGAGAGCCATAATGGTCCTCTGGGAAGACATGCCATTCTAGAACAGTCATTAATACTTCTATGTTTTAACAGTAAGTTCCACTTACGTTGTTAAGTAGTAAAACAAATTAATTTGGGTCTACAAATATGCAGCTTTTATTTATTTATTTATTTATTTATTTTGTTTTTAATTTATTTTTTATTTGTGAACATACTGTACAGAGGGGTTACAATTACATGGGCAGGATAATGCGTAGTACATTTCTTACCAAGCATTGCAGCCTCCTCCTTTGGTTTACCCTTCACATCCCTTCCCAGCCTCCCCCCTCCCCCCCAATCCCAACCCTTCTCCTCCCCCCCTTCCCCCCCCACCGACGTTGTAAAGCTCGTTTTGGACATGACAACTTATACTTCTCATTGTTGCATCATGTCCACCTGTATCCTTAAACAACTGTTTTTTCCCCCTCTCCTCCACAAGTTATACTGACATCAAATATAGTGAAAGCAGGGGTTACCAGCACAACTATGTTTATTGCAGCATTATTTACCATAGCTAAGATATGGAACCAACCCAGATGCCCCTCAGTAGATGAATGGATCAAGAAAATGTGGTATATATACACAATGGAATTCTATGCCTCCATCAGAAAGAATGACATTGCCACATTTGTTAGGAAATGGAAAAACTTGGAAAACATTATATTAAGTGAAGTAAGCCAGGCCCAAAGAAACATAGGTCCCATGGTTTCCCTTATTTGCAATATCTAGTATATGTATGAGTCAAGCGGAAAAGGTCAGATAATATGATGTCAGGAAAATGAACCCTTAGACATGTATTTTAATGTTTTTTCTTTCATGCATGTGTTTCTAATGTACTTATAAGATTATCTCTTTGTTGCTTTGTATGTCCCTCCCCCACAGTATAATATGCAGCTTTTAAATGCTAGTGTTCACTTAACTGTGGCAATGTATTTCTTTTCTTAGGTGGAAGTCTTTTTTTTTTTGGTCGGTTGTGGGCCTGAACTCTGGACCTGGGAGCTATCCCTCAGCTCTTTAGCTCTTCAGCGCCACTTCGGGCTTTTTTTCTTTTTTGCTTATGTGGTGCTGAGAAATCGAACCCAGGGCTTCATGTGTGCAAGGCAAGCTCTCTACCACTGAGCCACCTTTTCAGCCCAGGTGGAAGTCTTGTAGGCCTCTGTATTAAGTGTCTGTCTTTCATGTACCTAGCGGCAAACTAATAATAGTCTTTTTGTTGTCACGCAGAGCTCTGGAATTGAGACCTTAGTGGAGGAGCTCTGCTGCAGACTGAAAGACCTGCAGAGTGAGCAAGGTGAGTGTCAGTATCAGCGCATCGGGAGCAGTGGCCCCATCCTGCCATCACACCTCTGGGAATCTGGATTGAGGAAAATTGTAGATTGATTCCATGCTATCTTCAGCTCTGTGAATGGCTTCTTTGTTGGCCCTTTGCACCCGCTTGTAGAAATCCCTGCTTCAAAAGGAGGGACTTCACCCATAAGAAACCTTTATTGACAGGAAAAATTCAAGCTCAAATTTAAGGTATGGTTGCTGTAGCTGATTGCTTTGTAAGACTTCAGAGGAGACCTAGATTTTAGGCAAAGAACCATTGTTTCCTGCCTTACCTGTGCACATACCTTGAGACCTCCTGTGAAGGGCACAGCTTGTAGGTGATCTAATCCAGTGTCTGGGCCAAGTGGGGAGAGACACTTGTGGTTTCTGCTTGAGTTGAAGGGGTACCTAGCTTGCCTGCAAGTCATGTAACAGCTGATGGTGACAGAGGCTTTTCTGTACAGGTTAGTATTAGCCAAAATCAATCAGTATAAAGTCCATGAGTCCGAATTTTGTGAGAAAATATTTTTGGAATCTTAACAGATGTTTGTTCCCTTCTGGTCTAATTAGAAAGTTAAGGGGACTTCGGTGCCTCCAGAGCCATGGTATCAGTGACAGGATAAACCATTCTCACCTTAAGGCCTGATGCTAGTGTGATTTAGCCAAGGAATGCCTTTTAGCCCACTGAAGAAATAGATTTATATTAAAAAGGCAACCAGTAAGAACTCTCTTGAGGCCACACAAGCCTCTGTTATTTCTGATTAACATTACTTGAGAAACTAAAGAACATGGCATGTATTAACTAGATAGAAGACAAATCTTTCTGAATTTTTGTTTCTTAACAGAAGAGAAGAATCACAAAAAGCTAGAGGGGTCACCCTCTCCAGAGGCGGAGCCGTCCCCCACAAAGGATCAGGTGGAAATGTATGTAAGAGTGTACTCAGTACCAGATGTCTGTGTGCTAAGATTAGACTAACAGTGCGACATGCTTTCTATTTTTGTTTTGTTGTATATTTAATTTGTTATTTCATAATTTAGAAAACATCCATTGAAGCTTTATCACATGACTGATACTGAGATTGCAAAAGAGTTCATTGGTTCTGTGCTCACACTGCAGACACAATTAACATTTATAAAATGAATGAAACAAGGAAGGCTGTTGTTTACAAAGTCCATTATGTTATTAGCCTTTGAGATGGCTATAAGAAATTGTTACTGTCTCTATATTTAGGCAAGAAAACTGAGTCTTCACTGCTTATCAAAAAGAGAACACACAGCCAAGTGCTGGTGGCTCACGCCTGTAATCCTATCTACTCAGGAGGCTGAGATCTGAGGATCACGGTTCAAAGGCAGCCTGGGCAGGAAAGTCCATGAGACTCTTAACTCCAGTAAACCATTAAAAAACCAGAAGTGGTGCTGTCGCTCAAGTGGTAGAGTGCTTGCCTTGAGCTGAAGAGTGCTGGGACAGCACCCCAGCCAAGAGTTCAAGCCTCAGGACCGACCAAAAACAAAACCAAAAAAAAAAAAGAACACAATCAGATCTTTGACCTAACCAAACTGTTTTCTATACATTTAGTTCTTTTCTTTGTAAGTAGTATTCAAATAATCTTCATTGTAAGCAGGCAACTTTGTCATGTCTTTTATAAACTTCTGAAGCCTGGAAGTGGCACTGTGGCTCAAGTGGTAAAGCACTAGCCTTGAGCTGAAGAGCTGAGGGACAGTGTCCAGGCCCGGAGTTCAAGCCCCATGACCAACAACAATAACAAGCTTCTGAAGCCTAAGGAAAAATGAACATGGTGCTATCTAATGCAGTTATTGCAAGACATGAAAGGGTACTGAGCTGTTGAAATATAGCTAGTTTGCATTGAGACACACCATAAGTGGTGAATTCTCATTAGGTTGCAAAGACAGTATAAAAAAGTACAAAACCTGCATTTATCATTGAAACGATAATATGGACTTACTTGGCTAGAGTATATTACTGGAATTGATTTCACCATCTTATACTTTTAGTGTGATTGTTAGAACTATCTATATGTATATATATTTAGAAAAATATATTTCTGTTGAATAGCTGTAATATAGACTGAAAAGGAGAGTCATGTTCAGACCCTTGAAAACACGGCCTTGGCCATTTTGGGCATGACCTGGAGTGTTGTCTGTGGGGCATGAGTGCTCTCAGTGGCCAACATGGCTTTAAATTATCCTTTGGCAAGTCATTCTGCTCTTGGATCTTTAATAGCACTAGTGTCCTAGAAAGTCAGAAGTAAGCTCCTCATTTTCAAGCTCACTGTTGCCAGCCTCCCTGATCTTCCCTCTGTCCATTTTCAGTGGTCAGTGATGCATGTAGGCTTCCACTTGAGAGAATGGCGTGTGTTTTGTCATGTCCTCACACATCAGAGTTCTCGAAACTGATGCACTGTGGGTCTGCAAGACCCAGTTTTGCTCTACTTTTCTCATTGTTTTTGGCTTCTCCGATGTCTGCTTTTTTAAGCACCAGGATGTCATATTCCCTATCATTCCTGAAGGCCTTCTTAAATGCTAGACCCTGAGCTAGCATCCTGAGATAGAGCACCAGACCCTGTGCTAGCATCCTGAGATAGAGCACCGGGGACAAGGACAGACCCTGTGGTAGCATCCTGAGATAGAGCACCAGAGACAAGGACAGACCCTGTGCTAGCATCCCGAGATAGAGCACCAGAGACAAGGACAGACCCTGTGCTAGCATCCTGAGATAGAGCACCAGAGACAAGGACAGACCCTGTGCTAGCATCCTGAGATAGAGCACCAGAGACAAGGACAAGACCCTGTGCTAGCATCCTGAGATAGAGCACCGGGGACAAGGACAGACCGTGTGCTAGCATCCTGAGATAGAGCACCAGAGACAAGGACAGACCCTGTGCTAGCATCCTGAGATAGAGCATGGGGAACAAGGACAGACCCTGTGCTGGCATCCCGAGATAGAACACCAGAGACAAGGACAGACCCTGTGCTAGCATCCTGAGATAGAGCACCAGAGACAGGACAGACCCTGTGCTAGCATCCTGAGATAGAGCACCAGAGACAAGGACAGACCCTGTGCTAGCATCCTGAGATAGAGCACTAGAGACAAGGACAGACCCTGTGCTAACATCCTGAGATAGAACACCAGAGACAAGGACAGACCTTGTGCTAGCATCCTGAGATAGAGCACCAGAAACAAGGAGAGACCCTGTGCTAGCATCCTGAGATAGAGCACCAGAGACAAGGACAGACCCTGTGCTAGCATCCCGAGATAGAGCACCAAAGACAAGGACAGACCCTGTGCTAGCATCCCGAGATAGAGCACGGGGGACAAGGACAGACCCTGTGCTAGCATCCTGAGATAGAGCACTAGAGACAAGGACAGACCCTGTGCTAACATCCTGAGATAGAACACCAGAGACAAGGACAGACCCTGTGCTAGCATCCTGAGATAGAGCACCAGAGACAAGGAGAGACCCTGTGCTAGCATCCTGAGATAGAGCACCAGAGACAAGGACAGACCCTGTGCTAGCATCCTGAGATAGAGCACCGGGGACAAGGACAGACCCTGTGGTAGCATCCCAAGATAGAGCATGGGGAACAAGGACAGACCCTGTGCTAGCATCCCGAGATAGAACACCAGAGACAAGGACAGACCCTGTGCTAGCATCCCGAGATAGAGCACGGGGGACAAGGACAGACCCTGTGCTAGCATCCTGAGATAGAGCACCAGAGACAAGGACAGACCCTGTGCTAGCATCCTGAGATAGAGCACCGGGAACAAGGACAGACCCTGTAGCAGATTCTTTTCTTACTCATTTCTTGTGTGAATTCTTTTACTCCAGGAGCCTCTCTATGAGGTGGAAACCATTTATACTCCCAAGTAGGAATACCACATGCATTACTGTACTATAAATTAGTTTAGGTTAATGATTCCTGTATGACTCAAGATGAGTTAGTTGGCTGGGAATATGGCTCAAGTGATAGAGTGCTATCCTTGAGCAAAAGAAGCTCAGGGATGGTGCCCAGGCCCTGAGTTCAAGCCCCAGGACTGTCAAAAAAGAAGAAAAAAAAAGATGAGATGCTGTACTCTCTGGTTGGGACTAGTATGTGGCTATGTGTTAACACCTGCAAGTGCTTGCTTTTGAACTCTTTACTCTGTTTCTCAGGTACTACGAAGCATTTCCACCACTTTCTGAGAAACCAGTTTGCCTGCAAGAAATCATGACAGTGTGGAACAAGTCCAAAGCCTGTTCTTACTCTAGTTCCTCCTCCTCCACAGCCCCCCCAGCAAGCACAGATACACCCTCTCCAAAGGACTGTCATAGTGAAGGCGAAGTCACCAAGGAAAGAGGTGCCCAAGTGCCCACCCTTAGTCATGAGAAAACGCAGAGCAGAAGCAGACATAATAAGGAGAACAATGTGAGTCCCAGCACTTCTGAAGATAAGCCTGCCTTGTATAGAAAGCAAATCAGACATAAACCTGAAGGGAAGATTCGTCCTCGCTCATGGTCTTCTGGCTCCAGTGAAGCAGGCTCAAGTTCAAGTGGTAATCAAGGTGAATTAAAAGCATCTATGAAGTATATGAAAGTGAGACACAAGGCACGAGAAATCCGAAACAAAAAAGGGCGGAATGGCCAAAGCAGGCTGTCACTGAAGCATGGTGAGAAGGCAGAAAGAAGCGTCCATGCTGGTGCTGGTGCTGGTGCTGGTGCTGGTAGTGGCAGCAGTGGTGGCAGCAGCAGCAGCAGCAGCAGCAGCGGGTCCATCAGGCAGCTGTGCAAGCGAGGTAAACGACCAGTGAAAGAGACAGGGAGGAAAGATCCTGGGAGCATGGGAGGAAAAGACCTGTGTGCAGAGAGCAGAGACGACAAAGAGTACAAGGAGGAGCCCCTGTGGTACACCGAACCCATTGCTGAATACTTCGTTCCAGTGAGCAGAAAAAGCAAGCTAGAGACCACATACCGAAACAGACAAGATGCAAGCGCTCCGACATCAGAGGCAGTGGAAAACTTGTCTGAGTCAGTGCATGGTCTTTGTATCAGCAACAGTAATATTCATAACACATACCTCTCAGCAGGCACTTTCATTGAGGGTCACTTTGTAGAGATGCCTGCCGTTATAAATGAGGATATCGACTTCACTGGGACCTCATTATGTTCTCTGCCAGAGGACAATAAGTATTTGGATGATATTCATCTATCAGAATTAACACACTTCTATGAAGTGGATATTGATCAATCCATGTTGGATCCTGGTGCCTCAGAAACAATGCAAGGAGAAAGTCGGATTTTGAATATGATTCGACAGAAAAGCAAAGAGAATACAGATTTTGAGGCCGAATGTTGCATAGTGTTAGATGGTATGGAGTTGCGAGGGGAACGTGCAATATGGACAGATTCTACTAGCTCCGTGGGTGCCGAGGGCTTGTTTCTGCAAGACCTTGGCAATCTGGCTCAGTTTTGGGAGTGCTGTTCATCCAGCTCTGGTGATGCTGATGGGGAGAGTTTTGGAGGAGACTCTCCGGTCTTGGACAGCACAATGCTCAATTCACACTTGCTTGCTGGCAATCAAGAGCTCTTTTCAGATATGAATGAAGGATCTGGTATAAACTCTTGTTTTTCAGTGTTTGAAGTGCAATGCAGTAATTCTGTTTTACCATTTTCTTTTGAAACACTCAATTTGGGAAATGAAAATACAGATTCTAGTGCTAATCTGCTTGGGAAAACACAGTCTAGATTGCTAATATGGACCAAAAATAGTGCCTTTGAAGAAAATGAACACTGTTCTAATCTTTCAACAAGAACCTGTAGTCCGTGGTCCCATTCAGAAGAAACACGTTCAGATAATGAGACATTAAACATTCAGTTTGAAGAATCCACACAGTTTAGTGGAGAAGATATTAACTATGTAGTTCCTAGAATCTCATCAAATTATGTGGATGAAGAACTTCTAGATTTTTTGCAAGATGAAACTTGCCAGCAAAACAGTAGAACTTTAGGGGAAGTTCCTACATTAGTTTTCAAGAAAAGATCTAAACTAGAATCTGTCTGTGGTATTCAGCTAGAACAAAAACCAGAAAACAAAAGCTTTGGAACTACACAAGCAGGTAGTGAGAGCAGTCCACACGGAGATGGCTACAGCTCAGGGGTCATTAAAGACATTTGGACAAAAATGGCAGATGGAAACTCTGCAGCTACGGTAGAAATGGAAAGAGTTGAGGATGAATTGTTCTCGACTGATGTAAATAACTACTGCTGCTGTTTGGATGCCGAAGCTAAACTGGAGACCCTTCAGGAGCCTAGCAGGGCTGTGCAGAGATCAGAATATCATCTCTGGGAGGGGCAGAAGGAGAACCCGGAGAAAAGAGCATTTGTTTCTAGGGAGCTGTCAAATGTGGATGGTGGTGACTATACCACACCTTCTAAACCGTGGGATGTGGCCCAAGATAAAGAGAATGCATTCATTCTCGGAGGAGTTTATGGAGAACTCAAGACCTTCAACAGCGATGGGGAGTGGGCAGTTGTACCACCTAGTCACACAAAAGGAAGCTTGCTGCAGTGTGCCGCTTCCGACGTTGTGACAATAGCTGGCACAGATGTCTTCATGACCCCTGGAAACAGCTTTGCTCCTGGTCACAGGCAATTATGGAAGCCCTTCGTGTCATTTGAGCAGAACGATCAGCCCAAGAGTGGGGAAAATGGATTGAATAAGGGATTTTCTTTTATCTTCCATGAAGACTTGCTTGGGGCATGTGGTAACTTTCAAGTGGAAGATCCTGGGCTTGAATATTCATTTTCCTCCTTTGACTTAAGCAATCCATTTTCACAAGTTCTTCATGTAGAATGTTCATTTGAACCTGAAGGGATTGCATCTTTCAGCCCTAGTTTTAAGCCGAAATCAATCCTCTGCTCTGATTCAGACAGTGAAGTTTTTCACCCCAGAATATGTGGTGTTGACAGAACACAATACAGGGCTATTCGGATTTCTCCGAGGACTCACTTTCGTCCAATTTCTGCATCTGAACTGTCCCCCGGAGGAGGAAGTGAGTCGGAATTTGAATCTGAGAAAGAGGAAGCCAGTATTCCCATTCCTTCTCAGGTTGATGTGTTTGAAGATCCACAGGCTGATCTCAAACCTCTGGAAGAAGATGCAGAGAAAGAAGGTCATTACTATGGAAAATCAGAGCTGGAGTCTGGGAAATTCCTCCCCAGGTTAAAGAAATCTGGAATGGAGAAGAGTGCTCAGACATCGCTGGATTCCCAGGAGGAGGCCGCTGGAACTCTGCCGGCTGGAAAGCAGAACCAGTGTTTGGAATGTAGCATGGATGAATCTCTGGAGATAGATTCAGAAAGCTCAGAAGCAAATTGTAAGATAATGGCACAGTGTGAGGAAGAAATTAATGATTTTTGCAGTTGCAAAGCAGGCTGTCAGTTCCCTGCTTGTGAAGAGAATCCACTTTCTTCCGGACAGCTGGAAGAGGTATGTATAAAATCTAGCTTGCCTGTATTTGACCAAGTATCAACCAGACAGTAATCCTGGAATAGCCATATCAGACATGAAAGATAAGGTTAAATTTCTGGGAAACTAGCTGAAATGTCTTAGGGCTTACCTTTCTTACAAATTTACATTTTTTTAAGGACTTAAAATGGATTTGACATTTATAAATTTGAAGTAGACAGTAGACTTTCCTACAGAGAAAAGACATTTTCTCTGGAAAGAAATTTCAGCATACAAGTTTCTTACATAATATACATGTACTATGCTTTAAGCAGAAACTTAATGTATATAAGCATTTCAGATTTCAAAGTTCATGAACCAAGACATAGTTGCTAGCAGAAAGATTTTTTTTAGATAGCAAGCCTGTTCGATGTTGGTCAGGTGTATTAAAACTTTATTACGTGTAAAATACATTACATCTGGACAGTGTTCTCTAAGATATAGTGTGGTACATGTAAAAAGGAACCCACAAACCAAATGCTGCAAAACATATTCTACTGAGCCTTAGTGTAGGTATACCTGGCTTTATATGAAGCATGGGTTCTTGAAATTGAGAATTCTCTGATTGTCTATTAAGTAAGAGTTATTATACCCCTTGAGTATATCCCTAAAAAGTGGTTTGAAGTTCAGTTGATTACACCAGAAATAATATTTAAGGCAATAATTTGTCTCACAAACAAGCTTAGCTACCTGTCTTGCTCACTTTTCAACTAGCATTTGGCATAGTCGTGGCTGGCCTTTTTCCAAAAGCAGCTTATTAAACAGTTGAAGGCATTTAGAAGCCAGGCTTTCTGAGGTGGATAGCTGCTGTGTCCCTCCTCCCTTCCCCCTCCTTTCCTTCCTCTTCTCCCTTCCCCCTCACTCTCCCCTCCCTCAGCATGCTGGCTCCACCCACACCTTGAGGCCCTCTGCACCAGGCACCTCCTTCACTGACACAGTCCTACTTCTCTACTTCACCCTTACTCTGAATTCATTTCTCCCTTGTGATTTTCCTGCACTTCTTGCCTCTTGTTTTTATCACATTTTCCATGTTTTTATGTACTTTCTGTCTTGTACTTGATTAGCAACTCCATATGGCTGTGGACCACACCTTACTCATTTGTTGAGGCTCTGTGCTTCAGTGTGCAGCTGTGAGAATAGGGGTCCCAGGAACTTGGAATCCCTTCTAGTCGGCCCATAGAGATGTGTAGAGTGATGAGCTCACTTCCACTGAAAAACCAAAATGTGAATGCTAAAGAGAACTCAGTAATGCTAGCCTTTATTTGTTGTTCATTGCCCCATTTTTCCTCCTTAAATATTCCTTTATGTACTTTGTATTTCACCTGGTTCCAGATTGGGAAGAAAGAAAAAGAGGAAAGAAGCAAGATTCTACATCATACCACTACCATATTCCTTCGCTTTCTAGTATGTTGATGTATTTATCTTATCAGCATTCTGGGCCTTGAGGTCTTAGCTTCCAGAGGATGTTTGGGGTTTCCCAAGAGTTGAGTTGCCGGTACTGTCAGCACCAATCTCTCCTAACGTCACTATAGGTTCAGGTTGACCTCATAGATCCACGTGAGGTATGAAGTTGAAGGAGTGACCTGAAGGGACAGTTTGAGACTAGGCTGGGGCTCAGACCTGTGCCCTTGCCCCCGTCACAATTGGCTGGTCAACTTTGGGGCTCATAAGAGGAGATTCTTACCTTCCCTGGAGAACCTTTCCAGAAGGCAGTTTGTGAACTCACTTAAAAGTGACTAGTAGTCTCTGCACTAGAGCAAGAGGACAAAAATGTAATATTTCTAGTAGAATTGGTATTTGGGAAAAGGAGAAGAATAGGATTTGTTTTTGGGTGCCAGAAGCTCATGCCTATCTATCATCCTAGCTACTCTGGAGGCTGAGATCTGAGGATTGCAGTTCAAAGCCAGACCGGACAGAAAAGTCTGCATGAGACCCTTATCCACTGAAAAACTGGAAGTGGTGCTGTGGCTCAAGTGGTAGAGCATTAGCCTTGAGCAAAAAGAGGTTCAGGGACAGCTGAATAGTACCAGCTTGCTTAGCATAGACCTGACCCTAGGTTTGAGCCCCCACTTCCCACAAAACAAAACAAATCAAATGATTGCTTTCTTTCACTCATAATTGATACTTATACTACAAGTTATGATCTTATGTTTAGAATTGAGAGCTAAACTAAAAACCACAAGATATAATGAACATGAGTCAGAATAGCAGTCAGTATTATGAGAATATTTGAATTTACACAAAGATGAGATAAATAGATTAGTCCATGGAAAAAGTCAAGGGAGAAAGATATGTAAACCCTGAGTTCAGGTCCCACAACTGATAAAAAAACAAGTTCACTTACGCAGCCTTTTCAGATGCCTGTGGCCTGCTTGTTCCACTGAGGGGGGAGCCCTGGGTAAGGGAGCATCATTCTTGTCCAAGAAGAATTCATTCTGGTCCTAAAGAAAACCAGTCCAGCCAGGTGCTGGCAACCCAAGTCTGTAGTCCCAGCTACTCAGGAGACTAAGATCTGAGGAGTGCAGCTCAAAGCTTATCTCCGTTAGCCAGCAAAAAGCCAGAAGTGGGGGTCTGTTTCAGGAGTAGAGTGCCAGCCTTGAACAAAAAAGCTGCGAATGCAAGTCCCTGAGTTCAAGCTCTGGTACTGGCACACACAAAGAAATTAGGTTATAAAATGAGTTTGTAAATAGTTTACTTTCATTGAAATAGGCCATTGGTACATTTTGTATTAAGTTACAGGAGAGTATCATATTTCCCAGTAGCAACTGCTAGCACCAGTAAATCTGCCGTCTGTGTTTCCTGCGTGGAAACACATACTTCCTCCTGTTTTCTCCTTTTTAACTAAAATGGCATGTTATTATAATGGCCTTTGATTTCCTACACGTTTCACTGTATGGATGTGTGTGATCCCACTACCCAGTTCCTTAACCTTCAGTGCATCAGAGCCAACGCCATTTTAGGGACTGAGGTAGACTGGGAGATGGAGGTGAACCTGGACCGCTATTGGAACCTTGGAGAGCCTGCCCAGACCATAAGAGGTGTGGAAGGCCATTTGAACACACTTGGGTTGTACTGGACGTAAGGAGGGCGTAGGCTGCAGGGGGATGCCAGGTGGAGAGGCCTGGGTGGAGGTGTGTGTGGTAGGGACCATGGCTCTTTCATTGTGGGTGGAAGTAAGGACCAACAAACTTGCAGTGTGCCGCAGGTCCTCAGCGTGTATGCCTTCTTGTCACTTACTCCATTGCTCCCTTAGCTCCAAAAAGAAGCAGGAGGCTCAGTTACTGCCTTCAAGAATCTCCTGGTCTAGTCAAAGAGAAGTCACTTAGTCCCTACAGACGTTGGGCTGTGCTGCTAGAATGGCTGTGGAGGGCGGTGGGTCTGCAGTCGGAAAGGGGCTGTCCTGGTGATGTTACAACAATCCCTCCCATGCTGTTTTTCTTTTTTATTGGGGGGGGGGTCCGGTCGTGGGGCCTGAACTCTGGGCCTGGGCGCTGTCCCTCAGCTCTTCAGCTCAAGGCTCTACCACTTGAGCCACAGCACCACTTCCAGCTTTTATCTTTTTGCTTATGGTGGTGCTGAGGAATCAAACCCAGGGCCTCACACATGCAAGGCAAGCGCTCTACCACTGAGCCAACTTCCCAGCCCCCCCCCATGCTGTTTTTCTGCAGGAGGTACAGGCTCCACAGGGTGAGGGGAGTGAGCTGGCCAAAGCTTTCCCACGGCTCTCAATCTCCACAAATGAGGGAAAGCACAAAGCAGGTGCTTTCCAGGCTGTGTTGTGCTCAGGATCTTCTCATATCTGTTGCTTTTTTTTTTTTTTTCACTTGCTTTTTTCTTTAAAGAGGTTAAGGCGGGCCCTAACAACACAGGCAGCCTTGGCAGAGGATGCTGGAACCTCATAAAGGTACTGCAGCATCTTTCTGCTCCCCTGAATAGCTAGGCTATTGAGTAAGAAAGAATGTAAGGCTCAGAGTCTTGGCTTCCTTTACCTTCATCTTCTGAAGAACTCTGAGTGTAACAGGTGTTGCTAAAAATGTTTGTAGTTAGGCAATTTGGATGAAGCTTCTCTTTCTCTCTCTCCTCTTCTTTTCCTCTTCCTCCCTTCCCCATCCCTCCACCCCCCAACCCCGCACACCTGCACTGTTTTCATTGAGTATTATCAAGTGCCTGCTGTGCCAGGTGCTAGAATGAAGAGCAGAGAGCCTGTGTTTGTGTCGTTACCTGCTGCCTTTACAGTGAACACACTGACTTAGGTGCTTTATGAGAGTGTAAGGCTGTCCAGAATGGGGGCGTGGACACCAGGCACATGGTTAGTTGGGGGTGCAGGGAGGAGTCAGACCAGGCAGGAAGCACTTGGAGGTGGGTGAGGGAGAAGATACCGGAGGCAGGTAGATCACCTCCTCTTGGTGCTCTAACTCTCTTCCCTGACTCCAGTTTCCTCCTTAGTACTCACAACCAAACCAAGCTTAGTTCATTGTTAAACAGTAGGTAAGCAAAATGTGGTCACATCTTTGCTTTGCAACCTAAAAGTTGGGAACAACCGGCAGGAAAGAGTTCATGAACTGACACCTATTTGTTGAACATAATTAGCCAAGCATGAAACAAGACTGTTAATAACCTGCCATCGGAGCTGACATCCAAATGGAGGATGCTGCTGCAAAGACGCCTGAAACAAAGGCAGAAGTGGGTCAGCTCTTAGTAATGGGGTCAGCAGAAGAAAGAGAAGAAATGATGTGCTGAGTAATCACCCTAGATTAGAGGGGATTCTTCAGGTTTGTAGGCACAGTTATCTACTGTGTACCTGGTTAAAACACATAGTCTTGTCCTTAAGCTCCCAGTGAGTCTCCGTTGGCATCTGACCTCGTCTCCGTGTGTGACCCCAGTTCCTCAGTGATGCCTTGACCCCTCCAGGCTCCTTCTTCACCGTGACCAGTCCTCCACCATTAACTCCCCTTCTCTGGCCCAAGTCCTCATCCTGTCTCATGAGAGGATTCCCAGATAAATAAGCAGCATCATTAGGTCCTCAGAGCTGATGGGAACTCCAACAGGGGCCTGTTCCCTAAAATCCACATCTTTCCAGTATGCGGTGGTGAGAATTCTGCTACCCTTCCCTTAGTATGCCCAGTGCCTCTCGCAGAATAGGTAAGGTCTTCTGAAGTGGCTTAGGGTGCTGTGAACTGGGTGTCAGGTGTTGTTATCCACCTTTAACTACGGACTGTACTGCTGGCCTCATTTACGTTCAGCCTCACCTGCTCATTCTCTTGAGCCCTAACAGTGCGCTTGCTTAGGTCTCCTGTAGAATAAGCAACTGACCACTTTGGATAGACAGTACCATTCTCCTTTGGTTCCTAATTTAGGGGTATTTCTGAAAATTATTTCGAATAAAAATGAAAGCATGAAGTGTGTTTCTCAGTTACAAAATAGAGATACGTTTCTGAGTCAAACAGTTTTAGACCCATAAAATAATTTACAGTTAAAAGCTTAAACCTTTTAGAAAATTGATCATCAGCTATTGAAGTAGTTCAGGTTTTAAACTTGAACACACCTTTAAAATGGTAAAGATTACGTGGCACTGTGGCTCAAGCGGTAGAGGGCTAGCCTTAAGCTGAAGAGCTGAGGGACAGCACCCAGGCCCAGAGTTCAAGACCCACGACCGACAAAAAAAAAAGGCATTAAAATGGTAAATATTTATCTGGAGTTTACAGGCCTCTCCGCTGAGCAGGCTGCTTCTACAAGCCCAAGCCCTAGCTCTGGGAGTGTTAACAGGCCTGCCACAGGCAGAATAAAAAGAGCATGGGAGGGGTTGAAGACTGGCACACCAGAATGTGTGTACCGACCAAGCTGGCCACAGCCATATGGGGCTTGCCCTCGCTTCCCAGAAAGGTGGTGAGAGAGTTGTAGTTGTGAACGTTGGAGCCTGGATTCAGCCTTGGGTTGCCCTTGTGGGTCTGGACACCTCCCCCTGCTGTGGCCATGGGCAAGAGTCGTCACCCTTTGCCCCGTTCTCTAGCGTACCTCATTAATTCCAGAGCCCTGATTACCTGTGTGCACTTTGAAACCTAGAAATCTTCTCTAAATTGGCAGCATTTCTTGTCCGATTTTAAGCCTTGTTTAGTAGTTTGGGGTTTGTTTTGTTAAGATTTTTGTCCACTTTCAGAGTAATAGCTTTTTATGAAAACTTAATTTGCTACAAACATGTTGGCTTTTATCCTTGCCTTATCCAAAACAGTACCAGAAAACCTCACCAGTGTAAAAATCCTGGGCTTTGCTGTCCATCATTAATAATAGTTGGATAGTCTCTATCCTGCCAGTTTATAAACACTTTCTGTATTTGGTTTAATCTAAACAGTTTCCTGTATTGAACACTGATGTGCAAGAAATGAATACAAATCAAGGAAAGCAGATGTGGTGGGAAAAAGCTTTGTATTCTCCTCTTTTTCCAGCATCAGAATGTGAAGGTAAGGAGATTTGTGTTCATTTACTCATTCAGATTTCAAATTCATTAGAGCAACAAATTCCTTTGCTAGGACTGTCAGTCCACGAACACTTAACTAGCGGTTTCTGTGGCAAGCATCTTTGTCTCACACACACAGCACATAGTGATGAGGAGTGAGAACTGGATCCTGCTATTAACCTCAACAACAGGGCAACAGGGGACAGGTTGGAAATTCCTAATGGCCATGATGAGATGTGTGCTGCCACCAGTGGACATAGAGGAGGAAATAATCAGGAAAGAAAGCAGGAGGGACTGGCAGGAGAAAAGAACAGGGGTCCAGAAGAGGAGCATGCAGCCAAGAATCCAATGCATGGCCTGCAAAATTAAAAAGAGTGAGGGTAGGGGTGGGGAGGAGAGGGATGCATTGAGAATGTTGAAGGGAGTGACATTGATCAAGATAGATTGTATTTGTAGACTTCCTTGTTGAATGGCAATTCCTTCGTACAACTGCTTGAAGATATTAAACAAAGCCGGCTGCTGTGGCTCCTTCCTGTCATCCTAGCAACTCAGGAGACTGAGATCTGAAGATTGAGGTTCAAAGCCAGCCCAGGCAGGAGACTCTTATCTCCAATTAACTACCAGAAAACTGGAAATGATAGAGGCCTGGCCTTGAGTTAAAGAGCTCGGGACAGCGCCCAGGCTGAGTTCAAGTCCCACCACTGACAAAAAATAAAAAACAAGGTCCCATGGGCTCAGCAGGTTGTCGCTGGGCCCAGAAGCAGATGGGAAGGAGCTTATCTGATCATTTGGGAACCTAAGTGTGTTTGTCAGAGTTTCCATGGAGAAAGGATGGCTGAAGAAAGGGGGTCTGTGAGTTTGGAGGGTGTTACCATCAGGTGTATGCTTCAAACATTTGTAGCAACAGTGAAGAATCCAGAGCTGTGCTGCAGAAGCCCACTCTGGAAGAGCCTTTAGTAAGGAGCTGCCACCTTTAGCATAAGACTGCTTCCTTGTAGTGATTTTAACATATACCCCACTGATGGGTCCCTCAGCTCTGGGATGGCTGTCATCCTTAGTAGGAAGGAACCCAGCACCAACTTCTGGCTTTAGGTTCTCAGTGATCAAGGTTATAATTTACTCTTGGCAGGTGCCAATACGTGATGCTATGTACTACTTCTGTCTGTGGTATAAAGTGGCTTGTGGAATAATTCAGTGGATAAGTGATAGTAGCCAGTCCGTGTGTGTGTGTGTGTGTGTGTGTGTGTGTGTGTGTGTGTTTGTTCACTTATGTTTCAGGGCCTGAATACAGGGCCTCAGTGTGTTATCTTACAGCTAGCACTCAACCACTTGAGCCACACCTCCAGTCTGGCATTTTGCTGGTTTAAGTGGACATAGGATTTGACAGGTTTTTCTGCCCGGGCTAGCTTTGAACTGAGATCCTTGGATCTCTGCTCCTGAGTGGCTAGGATGACAGCGGGAGCCACCTGTGCCTGGAGGCAGCCACTCCTTTGGATGATTAGATCTCCGTGAGCTGCCTAGTCATGACAGTATGAAATGTACTTTCTGTGGGGGGTCTGCGTAGTTCTAGCCTCAGGAGGAGGTTCCAGGTAGAAGACAGGTAGGCAGTAATGACTTAGCACATTCTGATGCTTCTAGTATTGGACATGATTGGCACTGCTCAGAGTAGTGCCTGACTTGTTCTCTGGAAAGGCAGATTGTCCTCCAGGACACAGTCAGAGGGGCCCAGGCTGGGAAGTGAGACAGCCTGTTTGGGCTCCCAGTTGGCTTGAGGGTGCATGCCCCTGGCACTCTCCCCGTCCTCTTCTTGCTGAGTGGGTACTTGACTCAGCAGGTCATGCCTGCCTTGTACTGGGTACTGCTCTTGGCTCTGGGAATGCAGAGACAATCCCTGCCCTCCTCTGGTTAGGTGGGACTGCCTAGACTAGCTGCAGGGAGAAGTGCCAGACAGAAGCAGTGGCTGGACAAAGGCTGATGACACGGGAGTGTAAGCAGCCAGTTGGTGGAGAGCAGGCTCCAGAGGCTTTGACGGGTATGACAGCACTCTCCAGCTCAGGATTTGGAAGGGTCTGCTGGCACTGGCATGTGTTACCCTAGCCATGCGGAGAGGGCCCGGAGTCAGGGGCAGGGACCATGGTTAGAGCCCAGACTTGAGACACAATGCTCAGTTGGAACTCCATGTTGCTGTGCCTAGTTTCTAGGTCTCCACAGTGATGGGGTTTTTGTGTGCTCCACTGGCTCCATTTGTAAGTAGAGGCTCAAAGGCACGAGTCCCGTCTGGGCAGCTGTGCAGAAAGGTACAGGGCACCAGACAGTGCCGGGCTTATCCCTTGAATTTACTCATGGCTGTTGCTGTGAGCACTGTGAGCTGCAGGGGCCTAGTTCTCTGTCCTAATGCCCTTCCTGGGAGAGAGGAGCATTCCTGGCCCAGGGCACAGCCACCTTTCCCACCACAGTCCTTCACCTGGACCAGCTGGGGCAAGAGCAGCTGGGTGGGAGCGTAGTCAGAAGGAGGAAGCAAGGCTGGGCCATCACAGGCCCCTGCCCTGTCCAGCCTAGCGTGGTGGTTGTGCGCATGTCAACTTCATGCACAGTGAGCGCCTCCTTGAAGGTGATGTGCTCAGAGTCTTCTGAGGGCAGGTAAGAGGTCTGGGACAGAGTTACACTGCAGGTGAGGAGCAGAACCTGGCATCAAGCCTGGGTTTTCCTAGTAGTTTTCAGTTGGCCACTGCCAGGTTGTGGAGAGTGATGCATACAGCCAACACAAGGTGAAAGGCTGCGCAGGGTAGGCCTAGGCAGGCACGGCCTCCCTCGACCCCCAGTGGAGGCTGCTGCCGTGCCTCTGTGCACAGGGCATTGCATTGGTGCTGCTTCGAGTACCAAGGGACTTCCTGCCTGAGTATATATCAGAGCTAGGCCCAAGTCCAGTCTAGCTAGTTTCCCATGTGCCATGTCTTTCATAGCTGCCGCCTGCATGAAGCCAGGGGACAAAGGCCAGTCTAGATTGAGACTAGTACCTGTTGGGGTTGTACACTGGAGTTACCTGGTTGCTTCTCAGACGGCTGGACCGTCACCTGCCTCTTCAAGCAGTTCTAGCAGTCTGTCTCTCAGAGTGCTACCGGTGACTCAGATGCTCAGCCTAGGCTGCAAACAATTGGACTTCTTGGAGCTGTTTGAGTCCTTCCTGCTTTGGGGGCCACTGCCCGGTACAAGGAGACTGGGAACACTGGGTTAGTGGGGGTTGCCAGGAAGAACAGGCCAGGCCACGCCTGTCTTGCTTTCTCCTTGCACGTCCCTGTGTGCTGTTTCATGAGTACATCCGTAGCCTGTCACCGTCTCCCTCCACTCGCATGCGCTCTTGAGAGCACAGCCCCGTGAGCTTCCTTAGCCAGTGCTCCCAAGGGCACCCCGTCAGAGGCGCGAGAGCAGATTGGAGCAGGTCTCATGTTGGACTGTGCTTAGAATGCCTGTGGTTTAGATCAGATTCATTAATAGTCTGGTCCAAGAGAACATTTTTCTTGTGCATACCTTGCTGCCTGCCTTCTTTTAGTGCCTCCAAAGGGTTGGGAGATCTAACTTTTCAGTGAAAATGGAACAAAAATGTATGTTTCATATCTGTCTTAATGGAATTTCCCCCCTTTCCCTTTTTTCCCTTTTCCATTCAAAATGATTAAGAATGTTATACAAATGCCAAGGGAGACAATGGTATAGAAGAATATCCAGATGTTAAAGAAATACCCAGTAATGAAGAGCGTCTGTTAGATTTTAATAGGGTAAGTGGACTGTCCTCCTCCTTGCTGTTAACTTAGAAATGGCCACGGCTGCCCTCGTCACTGTAGTCAGACTCCTGGGAGTCATGCGACGTACTCCCACCCCCTCCCCACCCCCATCCTCTCTGGCTTTTCCTTCGGGTTTCCCTCACCTTCTCCCTTGACCCTTTATGTCCAGCCTTCTCACAAAGTCCTCCATCTTGCTCTGGCCGCCTTGACGCTGCTGCTGCGGGACATCTCCATGGGAAGCTGGCCGGCCCCCACCTTCTTGAGCGGCACCTTTGCATCTGTCAAAGCACTTGCCAAGGAGCCTTTCTAGTAGCTTTTTCCTGTCTGTCCTGGCCTCTGAGGGACAGATTCCTCCCCCCCCCCAGCCTCTGTCCCTCACCACACCGTCTGGGTAGCACTCTTGTTGGAGCCATGGCATTTGGTGCACTGGATAATCTATACATCGGTATTGTCAGAAAGGCTGGGTGCCTTGAAGGCAGGGTCATGGCCCGTGTCTGCCTTAGTCTCAGGCCTTCCTAGTTAGGCAAGAAGGCGGGTGAATAAATCTAAGGAGACTCGTTTTCCTTCTCAGAGCTGATTGTCGGTGTTGGTTCAAGCCCTGTAAGAACTTCCTTCAAAGCACCACGTGACGTCTGTGCCCACAGGCCTGTCAGTTGGTGGACTGAGGCTGCCCTGTAAGGAGGCTCGCAGACTCCTCCTTCCCACCAACCTCAAGCCCAGAGCTGGAACCACTCTTGCCTGTCTCTTCCTCCCTCCCTGCACATGCAGTCTGCCTACTGGCCTGTGCTCCACTCACATCCACTTCATATCGCCCCTCTACGCCGTCCTCTCATGCCTCCTCAGGGTCCTTCCTGCTTCTGCTTCTGCTTCTGCTCTCTAGCCACCTCTAGCCAGCAAGACAGTGGCCTCAAAATACCCTCACGTGGTAGGCACTGATGGCACGCCCATTTTTCCTGGAAAAAAAAACAACAAAAAACCCCAAAACATGAGCCACCTAAAGATTAAGAGCCATGTGGCTAAGGTCATAGAACTGAACTACCAAGTAAGTGCAGTCCTGAGCCGGGAGCCCCTGTGCCCTGACTCTAGGACCCTACCCCCATCCCCTTCTTGGGCTCTCCAGCAGGGACAGTGATAGAGTAGGGCTGGTAAGTGTGTTGTGGGGGTGGGGAGCATTGCTATGACTCACAAAGTTTCTACTTGCCTCTCGTGTCTGAGGGGCAAAAGATGCTAACCCTCTCATGGAGGAACAGTCCCACACTAGAGAATCAACCCTACGCAGGGTGAGATAATGCTGGGACCCATTGCAGAAACTTGGTGGAGGCCGCCCCCTCCCCCTTCCCCACCCCCCAAGTCCCACCTCTCAGCCACTCCCATCCTCCCCACCCGCAGTGCAGCATGAGCCCCAGGAGCCGCCACCTCCTGGTAAAGGTCTGCACCCGTCTGCACCCAGCATCAGAGCACGTAAACACGTGTAGAAAATTAAGGAATCCCTTTTAGCTACCCTTACACCGCCACATTGTCCATGTGACCCCATGCAGAATTCATATTTGGGATCTTGATGGATTAGGGAGCAGAGGAGATTTTTCTCTAAAAAAGTGAAACTCGCTGGGCGCTGGTGGCTCACGCCTGTAATCCTAGCTACTCAGGAGGCTGAGATCTGAGGATCACGGTTCAAAGCCAGCCCGGGCAGGAGAGACCGTGAGACTCCTATCTCCAATAAACCACCAGAAAACCGGAAGTGGCGCTGTAGCTCAAGTGGTAGAGCGCTCGCCTTGAGCTGAAGAGCTGAGGGACAGCGCCCAGGCCCTGAGTTCAAGCCCCACGACCGACAAAAAAAAAAAAAAAGTGAAACTCCACAGAACACTAGTGATTTGTTCTTTCTTCTCTGTTTATCAATGGGGTGTCTTAGCCCTTTGGAAGAGAAGTTTTGATTTTTGAACTGTTGAAAATTTGTTCTTGAATCTTAGGTGTCTTCTGTTTATGAGGCACGATGCACAGAAGAGAGAGGTTCTGGAGCAAAACCGAATGGCCTCCGCCGGAAGACATACTCCAGCGCCAGCTCCGACTCCCGGGACTCTGGCTCCGAAGGCGGCCAGTGGGCGGGCCCCAGTGGAGAGGAGCTCTTCTCCCGAACTCACCTCTGACCCTGCAGAGTGGCTCCGCTCGTGTCAAACGATGTGTGACGGGAAATCGCCTTCTGTGAGGCCTGTTAGTCTAAAGCAGCAACTTAGGTTTCTTCTTCAATTAACTGATTCACATCAGTGATTCTCTTTCTCTTCTTGCTTATTTTAGAGTTGAGGACAGCTGTCCTGTTGAAGATTTGTTTCCCAGCTGTTCAGTTCTTGCTATCTGAAGTAGACTAGACTGTGCTGTCCAGTGAAGAATGGGTGTGCATGTGCTTGTCTTAGAGGTGTCCCCGCTCCTGCATCGCAGCTGCAGGCCTTCCTTCCCCTCGCTGCCGCTGCTCCGCCATGACCCACCCACATAGCAGCGCCAGCAGCTGTGGCGCTGGCCAGAGACTAGCCATGTTCTCTGAGAGCCAGGAGATGGGCCCTTCCCTGCACTGGGCCAGGGCCTTTCTGAAGGCAGGAGGGAGGCATGGCGACTCATCCGCGGTCCTTCAGTGAAGCCTCATGGACTCTTGACTAGGACCCGCGAGGGTGTGCGCTTAGAGACTTAGTAAACTACTACTGTGTTTTCTCTCTTAGAGTTTCCCTCTAAAGTATCACGGAAGAAACTATGACTTGTTACTCTTGCTAACTGAAGAAGCCAAGGATTTGGGGGGTGGGACAGGAGATGAGGGGGGGAGGGGTAAGGATGCCCCTCACCCACCCCTCAGCCCAGGGTGAGGCCCTTGGTTGCTGTTCATTGGTGACTACTTTGAGTTGTAGTCCTCAAAACTTGGAAGTTACAAACATTTGACATGCAAGAAGGAAGGCCTTATCACCCCAAAGAAATCTTGGCTGCTGCAGCTAGCTGCTTTGTAGCTGTGATGTAGTATAGCTTGCTTCTTACTTTGTGTTTGAGAGAATGTTCTGGGAAGTTCTGTGTGCTGTGGGCTGGGATGGGTAGAGTAACTTTTTCTGCGTATCGATCGGTGTGACTGCTGTTCTGATCATCGCCTCGTGTGACTTGCTTTCCAGTTGCCTTGGGTTCCCCCAAGGAGTCGGTGCATCTCGCAGGAGGCGTGTGCATGCACCGCCCACGTCCTCCAGCGCTCACCACACTGTGCAGCAGGGTGATGCGAGGTTAGGAGCAAAAAGCGCAAAATCGAAACATTCTAAATCATTTTCCTTTTTTAACCAGCTCGCTGTTTTAAAACAAAAACATCTAGCCTGTAAAATCAGGTTAGCATGTCTGTGACATCAGGGATGTTGGAGAAAAGTCTGACAGCGTCACCACTGACTTGGGCAGGCAGTGGACACAGGAATAACGAGCTTATTGGCTGGGAACTGAACTGCCCCACAAAGTACTTGGTCTGAAGCAGTTAAGTGTGTTGTGTTTTCTTAATTGACAACGTAGAAAGCAGCATCAATGCTGTGTGGAGTGCTGGAGTTGTGTGTGTCCTCACCATGGGAAGCCTGGATTGCTCTCTGGGGTCCTCACTGCCTGCTAGGGTTTATTTTTATACAGCATACCATCATCCTTTGACACTTTACAGTGGATTTGTGTGTGTGTGTGTGTGTGTATGTATGTATGTATGTATGTATGTGTCTGTGTATGGGTGCGTGTGTGCATGTGTAAGGTTTTTTTGTTGCACTTATTTATTTATAGACATCAGATAAGTTTTTATGTATTTTCTTTCTTCTAGAGCTTCCTAAAATTTGATTAGCATCTGCACTGAAATATCACTTAATAACATCAAAGGCAAAAAAAAAAAGGATTGGAAATTGAAAATTCCTAAAATCACTGCAGTGACCATTATCCTAGGAATCGTTGCTTATGTAGCAGAGACCAAATAAATAGATTTCCGATACAACCTTGAGCTCAGCTGATTTTGGACAGCTGCTGCTCATCATGAAAGGGCTCCAAAGTGACAAAGGAGCTGACATCCTCCAGCGTGGGGGAGGGGCTATAGAACGCCTTCCGAGGGGGACGGGAAGGCTGATGAGCAAAGGATCGACAGAGTCTATTTGTTTTCATAGTGAAGTGGCTAAAGCTCAGAGGCTTTTAGCACAGAGTTGAAAGTGTGGTTTTTAAGTTTTGTGAATGGATGATCACAAAAAGCATTAAAAACAGTTGGCAAATGCTGAGCGCGCTATGGTGTGGCGCATACACTCTGCCATGGTGTGACATGCTCACTGTGATGTGCCGTGCACACTACCCTGTGGCACACACTGGTGTGACACGCTCACTGGTGTGGCACACTACTCTAGTGTGGCAGCACTGGTGTGACGCAGGCTGCATATCCATAGCACTGAGGTTTCAGTTTTCCATTCCTGCGCTCAGATTTTTTTTTCCGTGGTTGTATTGTTCTGATTTCACGTACACCAGAGTAACTGATTTTTTTTGTTTGTTTTCTTGTGGAGTTAACACCAAATAAAAAAAATTTAAAAACAGTTTGCTGATATTATTTATGATACAAAAGATTTCAAGAAATTCGGTCTCTTAACTGAAGAACCTAAGAGCGTAAATTACTTTATTATATGGAAAGCAGGTAACTTCCTTACAGAGGCCCCAAAAGCTGGAAAGGGGAGTGAGTGGGGTCTATTGAGCAAGAAGCTGACTTTTTATCCCAGCACACTCAGTAGTCCTGATCCTCACAGAGGTAATAAAACCTGCTTCTTTGTTTTACTCTGGAGAAAAAAAAGCAACAGATGTTTACCCATCTAACATGATTGGTGTCTGTTATAAAAAGAAGTCTGTGTATGCTTAAGAGTGCATATGGGGAATGCAGATGCCTCCATTCTTCACCCCTGTGCTGCAGAGCTGCCACCGCCCATGGTTGAGACAGGAACTCGCTCTGTCCCTGACGTCCAGGCTCAGCAGTCACACAGCTGTGTGGTTACAGTTGGATTCTCTGCCATCATGAGGTTTAGCTTTGATCACGGTTCAGAGCATTTTTCCCTGTGTTCACTACTGAATGCTATTCTTGTGGGCAGCCTTGAGCGTGTCTGTCCTTACTGGTGGGCACAGCTCCCGTGGGGAGATCCTGGGCTGCCGTGGCGCAATGGCCGGCGTCCTCTGGAGCAGGCTCTGGCCACCATCTGAGGTGGTACGCGCCTTTCTCTCCACGCTGTAGCATGTACTTCATTTGAGCCATTTGAGGAAAGTTCTTGTTCTCAGTTTAGCAGTCACCTTTCATGGAGGGGGTGAAGGTGGGGGTGAGGGGCCTCCGTAGAGGACTAAATTTTGACTTACTGCTTGTACCTGTCCTGTTTTAATACTTGAAAATGCTTTCTCTACCTTATGACACCTATTTTCCCATGGTTTTTTTTTGTTTGTTTTGTTTTTTGCAAGTGCTGGTGCTATCTCTTAAGCTATTTGCTCCAGGCCAGCATTCTACCACTTGAGTCACAGCACCATTTCCAGCTTTTTCTGTAATTAATTGGAGGTAAGAGTCTCAGTGGCGGGCCGGGAAGGTGGCTCAGTGGTAGAGCGCTTGCCTTGAGCTGAAGAGCTGAGGGACAGCGCCCAGGCCCAGAGTTCAGGCCCCACGACCGGACCCCCCCCCAAAAAAAAAGTCTCAGTGGCTTTCCTGCCCAGATCACTTCGAACCGTGATCCTCCTGAGTAGCTAGGACAACAGGCGTGACCACCGGCGCCCTACAGAACCCGTATTCTTTATGCAGTTTATCTCTGACAAAATGAAGCTTAAGGATGCGACCTCATTTTCCCCAGGTCACTTCCAGCCACCCTGATACTTTGTGAGCCCTCCATGTTCCCCGGATCTGCCTGTCAAATAGCTGGGATTACAGATGTGTACCACTGTACCTGGCTTGGTGTTAAGCTGCTTTTGGCTTTGTGATCTTGGGTAGGAAGGGTACCTTGTACCTAGAGAAGCCTCTGAGTGCTGGATCATAATTGGCCAAGACTGGTTTCTATGGAGAGTTGGCTTAAACTTTTCCCCTCCTTAGAGTAACCCGGTAGGACCCTCTTCCTGGAGACACCAAGGATGCATGTGTGGCTGGCAGTGATAGTCACCCAGGTGCTATGGGCCCCCAGGAACATGGGACTCGCTGTGCTCAGCCTTCAGCTCAGTGCACCCTGGGTGTTGAGGGGAAACCGGCTCCACAGGATGTGAGATGTGTTTGAAGTCACGCAGGTCCCTGGCAGGGCCAGGGCTCCAGCTGAGCGTTGTGACTGCAGAGTGCATTCGACGCGCCCACACTGCCACCTCCAGATGTCACTCTGCACGCTGGGAGTAGGTTCTGACCAGGATGCCCTCTCCAGGAATTGCGGGCAGGTGGGGCTCACAGGCCCGTCACTGGGGTACACCATGAGATCCCAAGGGCCAATATGATGTGTCCCAGGACTGAGTGTACCCCGTGCTCCCTCAGTGTGTGTGTGTGTGTGTGGCAGGGGGAGCCTGGCCAGAGCAGAAGTGCAAAGGGAAAGTTACCCATGACCAGCTACACAGATCAGTCACATACCTGTGGGTGTCTCCAGGGAAGAGCACCCCAACAGGGAAGAGCACCACCAACCCCTTGCCTGTCTGCGCCTGCTCCCCCCGGCACACGAGTTGCTCTGCCAGGCACTGTGGTCCACTCGAGTGGCACAGGACGGGCCTCTGCCTCAGGCTTGCGGCTCCGGCCCTGCTGCTGTGCCTTGCTGTCGGGCGGCCCTGAACATGAGCAGGAATGGGAAGGTAGTACACAGGTGACCGCAGGCCGTGCTCTGAGCACGGATGCCAGGGGGCAGATGTCACCTGGGCGCCGCCCGCCAGCCACCACCGCTGGTGTGGTTAGTGGGCACCATTGCCAGGGTTAGTCCTAAGGGAGGGGGCTGGTCTGTGGGTCAGGGTCTTTGGCGTCTGTGGAAATGGCTGCAGTTGGCCGGCTCTACAGAGGTAACCCCTGGCCAGCTAGGTGCTGGCCACAGCCATGTACCATCATGTGACTTGCCCAGGCACACCCTCGAGCGAAATCACACCCACACCCTTGAAGACAGGAAAGCTGCTTCTCTGGCCATCCCAGGGACTCCATCTGACTCCCAGTGTGCTGGCTTGGCCAGAAGATGGGGCCAAACGCAGCATCAGATCCACGTGTGCGCGTTGGCGCAGGGCCGAGGAGCTCCGCCCAGACCACCCAGCCTGTGGAGGAGGAAGACGGGCAGCCGGGCACCTCACCTAAGGCCCACTCGGGGTCTCAGGGGCAGGAGAGCCTCTCCCACAGATCTTGGCACAGATGTACAGGTGAGAAGAGGGCACGGGGCAGGCTCGGCGCAGAGCTAGTTTGTTTTTGCAAGCCCAGGGTGGGTGGCAGGTCCTGAAGGACGAGGGACCCATTTCACTTCCAGGAAATACAGGAGGCTCTGTCTCCGCCCCAGGTTCCTACACACCCCAGTGGATGGCCCTGTTGCCTGCTGGGCAGCACCCCACGGAAGGCCCATCAGCAGGGCACAGTGCCACACACAGGCAGCTTGGAGGGAGGCGCCGGGTGACAGGAACAGGATCTCCCCTCCTTCCCCCAGAGCTGGGCCTGCCTCTGGCCCAGGGGAGCGGGGAAGCAGCTCAGGGGTGGGCCACACTGCCAGCGTGGGCTCATCTCCAGTCCTAGGGAGGTAGTCTCCCACAGATCAGTGCCGGGCATGGATGGGTGCGTGGTGGGGCTGTTGCCCCCTCTGAAGCCAGTGGCAGGAGCCAGTTCATGGCCTCCACTTGGGTATTGGGCTGGGGCTGGGGAGCTGGCAGGACTAGTTCGTGCGGGGCCTTGTATGCCTCCGGCTGCCAGTGTGGAGGGCCTGTGATGGGCACTGTGTGTGCCATGGGTGAGCAAGTGCTCTCCAAAGCTGGGTAAAGACTGCTGGAGACGGTGCCAGTTGGTCACACCTGCCATCCTAGCTACCCAGGAGGCTGAGATCTGAGGATCACAGTTCAAAGCTAGCTGGGCCAGGAAAGTCCGGGAGACTCTTTATCTCCAATGAACCACCAGAAAACCAGAAGTGCTGTGGCTCAAGTGGTAGAGTGCTGGCCTTGAGCTGAAGCACTCAGGGACAGCGTCCAGGCCCAGAGTTCAAGCCCCACGACCGACTAGAATTAAAAATGAGAATGTGCTAGAACTTGTGCAGTATTTCAAAGAAGGCTGTCACAGAGATCTAGATGGAGCGTGGACAGGTGATAAGACAGGTCACTCATGATCCCTGTGCCCAGGAGCCTTTCTCAGGCCAGTCTCCTGTGGAGAACATGGAGACGACCCACCCCACCTCCCAGACAGTGGTGATTGGGCTTTCTCAGCCGTGAAGCCCTTGGTCAACCATGTGAGAGGAATTGAAGCATGCTGCCATCACATTGAAAACTGGCTAACTGAAAATTAATACAGTGCTCCACGCTGCAAGCCCAATGTAAACCAGCCTCAGCGGGTGGCCCGTGGAACCACAGCTGAACAAAATTTTAAAAATCCAAGAGCAGCTGAGAGCCTTTAACTGAGTGCAGTCATACATACCTGCAGTCCCAGCACTCAAGAGGCAGAAGCACGAGGAACACCTTAGACCCTGACTCAAAAACAAAAGCTGGCTGGATATGCTGACTCAAGCCTGCAATCCTCAGGAGACAGGAGGTAGAGATCGGGTTGTAGCCGGAGGTCAGAAGTTCACGAGACTCCATCCCAACCAACTGTTGGGCTAGATGTTGCATGCCTGTAACCCCAGACAGAAGTAAGAGGATCCCTGGGCTGGGAAGGTGGCTCAGTGGTAGAGCACTTGCCTTGCATGCTCGAGGCCCTGGGTTCGATTCCTCAGCACCACATAAGCAAAAAAAGAAAAAAGCTGGAAGTGGTGTTGTGGCTCAAGTGGTAGAGCGCTAGCCTTGAGCTGAAGAGCTGAGGGACAGCGCCCAGGCCCAGAGTTCAGGCCCCACAACCGGACCCCCCACCAAAAAAAAAAAAAAAACTTTAACCTTTCAACATAAAAATGTTAAAAAAAAAAAAAAAAAAGAAGTAGGAGGATCCCAGCCCAGGCTTGCCCAGTCATAAAGTAAAACTCTACCTAAAAAATAACCAAGGTGGGCTGGGAAGGTGGCTCAGTGGTAGAGCACTTGCCTTGCATGCATGTGGCCCTGGGTTTGATTCCTCAGCACCACATAAGCAGAAAAAAAGCCAGAAGTGGCACTGTGGCTCAAGTGGTAGAGCACTAGCCTTGAGCTGAAGAGCTGAGGGACAGCGCCCAGGACCAGAGTTC